AATGGCAACGCCGCACCGAGGAACTCCCGCCCGCTGCACCCTCCCACCGCTCCGCCGCTCAGTCCAGCTCCCATCACTCCAACCCGCCCAGTCACCACTCCGCCTACGGCAACGCTAACGGCGGGGGCAACGGCGGGACGGGCCCCGGCAATGGCCACGGCGGGATGGGCAACGGACAGTCTGAGCGGCCTGGCCACGGACAGTCGGCGTATGGACAGGCGCCGCCGACGCAGAAGCGACTGGAGCAGTTGGCGGGGGTGCTGCAGCAGAAGCAAGCCGAACGTCGCGCGTTCGAAACCGGGCGCACGCAGGGCCTGGTCACGGGGCGCGCGCTGGCGTCGCAGCCGCTGACGCGGACGGCCGCAGGCGAGGTGCCGCCGGGCGCCATCGCGCAGGCGGTCTACGGGGCGCCGCCGGGAGCGGCGTTGGTGCAGCCCGGGTCGCGGCTGCCGAGCCAGGTGCCGGCTTCTTCGCCATTCTACAACCCCTCAGCGCCGAGTCAGCCGCCGTACGGCCAGCCGCCGTATGGACAGGGCGCCTTCGGCTACCAGGACGTGCCATTGCTGACGCTCTACCCCATCGGCGACCGGAGCCGCAAACTCTTCAGCACCAATAAACGCCTAGTCACGAACGAACTCGCGCCCGTTTCCTGGAAGCGCATCAACCTCGACGGCACGAACTCCCCTGTGATGCAGGTGCCCGAAATTGTCCACGCCGACGCCATTCATCAAGCCATGTTCCCACCCGGCCGCTGGTGATCAGGTGTCCGTGCTGGCAGGGAACAAGGTGCCAAGAGGCAGAGAGGTAAGTTGACGTTGGTAGGTCGTCACTGCTCGTGGGTTAATGCTTGCGGGTAAATGCCCCCGGGTATCCACTTACCACGGCGACTGAACGGTCCAATCGGGACGGGGACTTCGTCTTGGACGACCACTTGCCGAGGACTGACCTGCCTGCGTACGAACAAGCACAAGGACCGAACCCGGATTGAATAGGCACTAGCGCCAAGGGCGAGACGCGATAAGTTATGAACAAAGGAAAGCAACTAATGTGCTGAGAACACAGGAGCGTCATTTCGACGGTGATATTGAACGAGCAGATGACGGAACACAGGCAGGGGACACATCGTTCTGGCTGCTTCGGCTTTTTGGATGGCGGATAGGTCCAAATGTTGGGCAGGTCTCTTGATCAGAATTTTTCCCCCAATTCATCCATAGACCACTGCGTTTTTGACATAGACATCCAAGCAAGCCCGCTTAAGGCCAGAATTACATACCTAGGGAACGATCAGGTACGGGTGGAACGACAAGAGAGGGGACTCGCCGCCCGCCACCCACGGGTTGTAATGCCCACAGGGTCAGCACCACGTATATAGGTTTCGCACCACATGAGTGGTAAACAAAAACTTGAGGCGGGAGTGCCGGCTCCGCCGTGAGACCGGGTTGGTTCCCATTCTTTGTTCACTCCTTGCGGAGTTTACTTGCAGGTTGAGCTTTCGCTCGAGAACATTTGCACTCGCTTGCAACGTGGTTGGTTTAGGCAGCTTGGTTGATTTCGATTAGGGGTAGAATTGCTTCGCGAGGCTGCTAGGAACATGCCTGTCGGTAGCACGTTTGCTGCCACGCGCTTGGGTGTCACGCCTGTTGTTCTTTCATGGCCTTGAATGCGTCGAACTCAATGTCGACAATTTCTCGGAGTCTGGTGAGGAACAGTTTAGCGCGATCTGGGTACTCGGCGAAGACGGAAGCGAGGGCGCTCTGGGCTTGTTCGAGGCGATCGAGCATTTCTTCGCTGACTTCTTCGACTGAGCGGTGGTGAAAGTATTCCGCGAGGAGATCCGTATGTTCGAAGAACTCGATCATGAGCTGCACGCTCCCGTCCACGTCGCCCTTTTTCAGACACGACTTGGCCTTCTTGAGCGAGTCCTTGTAGAGCTCCTGCACTTGTGCGCTCACCTCGGGATCTACCACTGCCACGGCCATCAAAAAAATAATGTCGCTTGGCGCTGCCTGCCCTACCTTATCACACACCCACACCCACCGTCTAACCACCGTCACAAAGGCCACCCTCACCACGGCACAGGACTCCGCCACGCTCCTCCTGGCCGCCACGGACTCTGGCCTCCTACTGTCCTACCGACTCTGCGACGGCGCCGCCTCGGAAGACCTCGTCGCTGAAGAACAACCAAAAGCCAAGCAACCCGAACCCGAACCGGCAGCGACTGAGGACCCCAATGCGGCATCTGGCGACCCCGCCGCCGCATCTGGCGATCCCAACATGAGATCTGGCGACGCTGATTTGAAATTTGGCGACTCCAGAGTCAGATTCGGCGACCCCCCGGCCGGATCTGGCGCCCGATATGGCAGTCCCAGAGCCGATGGCTTGCCGCAGCCTAGCGATACAAGCAGCCGCATTGCCGAGAGTCCAAGTGGCTCGGACCGGCCCGAAGACTCAGAGTGTGTGTGCGCGCGGTCGGAAGCCGAGGAACCTGCAGTGGAGTCCGCCGACGCGGGTGAGTCTCACGGCACGGGTGCGTTGGACGGTACGGGTGAGTGCCTTAGGGTACCTGGGCCTCGTCTAGAGTGGCTGACTGCGTTGAAGTGGAACAAAGCGATCAGCAACATCACGCTGGTGCCGTCGGCGTACACGTACATGTGTTCGACGAGTCCGTACGTGGCGCTGGTTGAGCAGACGGTAGGCAGCAGCAGCCGGTGGGGCAGTCGCGGGTCCACGCGGCCTAGTTCATTGCGGGACGTGGCGAGTCGGGCGTCTGGTCCGCAGTCGCGTGTACCATCGCTAAGTCAAAGGGAAGAGGCGACTCGCTCGGAGGCGCCTCGTTCAGAAGCGCGTGGTTCAGATGCGCGCGGTTCGGAGGCAGGTGAAAGTTCGGAGGGCGGGGGGCGAGCGTCTGAGCCACCGGAACCAGCGGTGTCGGACGCGTTCGGCTCGGAGGTGTTTGTTCCTGAGGAATTGAGTTCGGAGGGGTTCGATTCGCAGGCGTTTGCGGCTGAGACGACAACAGGTCTGGGCGACATGCGGCCCTCTGACGTCTTAGTCTCACTCGTTTCGCTCGACGACGGGCGCTGTTTCAGCTCGTTCATGCTCGACGGACCCACCGTCCCGCTCCCTCCGCCGCGGACAGCGCGCGAGACGGAGCTGGCGTCGCGGTTGGTGGTCTACTTCGACTCGCCGCACATGTTTGTCTTGTGGGACATGGTTAGTGCGCAGGCGGTGCTGCGCATCTACTACCACGGCGCGGATCCGCCTCTGGCCGCCGACCCGTCTCTAGCCGCAGACGATTCTCTGGTCTCGGCGACCGCGTGGCAGAAAGAAACGACTTCGGAAACAGACCTGCGGAGCACGAGCGACCGGTCACGACTGGAGGGGGCTGCGTACAAGGAGATGGTGGGGCGGCCTGTTGCGGCATGTGCGATCTTCCCGGGTCCATCGCTGGCGGTATTTACGGAGGACGGGCAGCTGCACCTGTGGGACTTTGGAGTGGGCGTGTACGACCATTGGAGTCGTTCCGAGTTGGTCGGCCAAGCGACCTGGGTTGAAGCGCGTGCCCCCGTAGCGGCGCGTCGATTCGGCCTGAGTGACGTCTGGCACGCAGGCGACCAGGAACGCGATGCACGCATCTTCCCAGGCTTCGTTAACTCCCAATTCGTCCTTGTCCTCCACGAACGTGTTCTGCTCTTCCACGTCCGCGACCATAAACTGCACCTACTCCACGACTGGCATGCCACCGGTCTCCGCGTCCGCCATGCACTCAAGTGCCACGCACTCCGTGCACACACAGAACCGCCACAGCAAACCGCTCTCGCCACACCCGATCTCGTCAGCGCGGACCTCTCCGATGCCAGCGGGATGGGAGGGGTCAGCGGGGCCGAAGGGGTCAACGGAGCCGGAGGGGCCGATGCGCAAGAGCCGAGTCGGAATGCGCAAGAGCAGAGTGCCAGTGTGCGGGAACCCAGCGCCAGTCCGAGAAGTCGCGCGGCCTTGGGCGACCAGGCGGCGAAGGACCGCGTGTTGCAGACGCGCGTGGCCTACGGCGCCAGTCTGCGGGGCAGCGAGCGCAGTCTAATGGTGCAGACGGCGGCGCGCACTCTGGTGCTGACGCTGGACGGGAAGTGCTACTGGGTCGACGAAGGTACATTGCAAGGCCTTCCAGCGGTCGCGTTGGCTTGCCTTCCAGACGCCGAATTTGCCCGCAACAGCCACTCCGTCCCGGTGCCTGCGACACCTCGCCGCATGGGTAAGTGGCTCCGGACAGCGGCCGACCATACGGGGTCACAAACCGCCGGGGTGGTCGACTCCGCACTGGCCGGAAGTCCAGCAGGGGGTCCAGGAGACGGTCCGGGAGACGGTAAGGGAGCCGGACTGGAGGAGCGGAAGTTCACCTTGGTTCAGTTGCGGAGCTGGAAACACCGGCTGCTCATCTACCAAACTGCCGCTACGGGAGCACTCGCCACGAAGCCAGAGCTACCTGCAACCGAGAGTACGGTCGTCGGCTCCAGGACTGTCTCTAGAGTCAGTGTACTACAACGAATGGCCAGCCACCGCATTGCCAGCCATTGGATTGCCCACCGCTGGACAACCAATCCAGACGCCGCCAACCAGAATGCTGACCGGAATACTACAAGCCACAATGCCAGTCAAGATGCCGCAAACCCGGATGCCAACCAGGATGCTAGCAATCGGAATGAGTCGCGGGCTAGTCAGTCTCGATTGAGTCAGTCACGACTATCTAGAGCGACTCGGCCCAAAGTATTTTTAGGAGCAAGCACACGTCGGATAAGCAGTAGTATTAGTGGAAGTTGTCCGTATTTAGCTAGTGACGTTTGTTACCTGGGTACGTCCGTGGTGGCCTGCTTCGGTATGAGCCAGAACGAGATTGTGTTTAGGAAATTACGGCCGAAAGGAGCTGAGGACCTCGTTTCAAGTGGCCCCGTTTCGAATGCCTCGATTGAGGGTTATGGAGCGGTGGAGCCCGGCTCCACTGCGGACGATACCGCTGGCCGCAGAGAGAGTGATACTCGCGGTTTGCTGGAGGCGCACTCCACAACCAAATGCGGCCCCATTGATGACGAAGACCAGTCCAGTCACCAGTCGAAACTGACGGATGACCAGACTGTCCGGCGAGGTCGACTTGACGGGGAACTGAGCAATGGCCTGGGCAATGGTCTGAGCAATGGCCTGAGTAATTGTTTAAGTAATGGAATAAGTAATGGTCTTAGTAATGGGTCGGACGAAAGTATGGAGCCAGACCCGGGAGTGAGGTCAGTCGGGGTCGGGAAAGACCGACGCCGTTTGAGGCAAATCGCACGGTCAAGGCGAAATTTCGAGACACAAGACAGGTACGGAAGAGCTCTAGGTGGTTCGCTAGACGGTCGACCTCTAGGCGGCGGGTCGCTAATGGCTGGCGGCTCGTTAGCTGGAGGGTCGCTGGCGGGCGCCACCGCGTATGGTATTTATAGGCGGAGATCTACCATGGGCATGGATGGAGGAACCCACACGGCAAAGCGAGTTTCCTCGGCGCGGCGTACTCCTTCAGGAAGAGTCAAGCAACTATGGGAAGAAGGTTCCTGGGTATGCGAGGAAGCCCGAATACCTTCTGCGGCTCCTGCTACAAGTATGCTTTGCTTGAAGGAGGAGGGAGTTTTGGTAGCCGGCTTTGACGACGGGTACTTGGCCGTCTACTCTCTTAGCAGTCTCAACGAGATTATACGAAAGCCGTTGCAAGATACGCTGCACAATCGGCGCACCTGGGCCGCGCATATGACCATGGACGGCGGTTTCCAGCCTATCGTCCACTTGATCCCAGTTACCATACTCCTGGACAAAGGCAGTGCAGTGAGTGAGTCGTTATTTTTAGCAGGGACGTGCCTGGGCGAGTATGTGCTATGCGAAGTGGTTCATCGGAGCTTGAACAACACCGCATCTCTGGGGACTGCGTTTCTTGGGCCCGGCGATAGTTTTGAGGATGCGCCCCATCCCAGTGTTCGCCTACACATTCTCCTAGCGTTAGGACATCGATTCAGCTCCAATCTGGAAGCAGTTGTATACAGTCCCTGGGCGAAAACGCTATATACTTCGGATCGCGCTGGTTTCGCACACGTGTTCGATGGATTTAATGGAGCGCGTCTGGGCTGTTTAGACTCTAGCACCACCTATATAACTATCTCTCGGTGGCAGAATCAGCTGCAGATATGGAGAGCGCGATTGGAGGCCAGTTCTGCGACTTCAGACTTTAATCGGACACCAAAAAGTATCGCTTCGAATTTAGGGTTAGACATTTGTTGGATCAATGGAATCTCAGCTTGCCAGAAGATGTCATGGTCAGGTCAGAATCGGCTTTTGACTTTTGCTGGACTGAAGGATCTGAAAATCCCTTGCGAGAATTATTTGCGGACCTCTAACGTTTTACAGTTATCTACATCTGAGATGCTGACTGCGGCGATAATACTCGGCTGCTTTTTCCCTTGGGACGGTTCTGTCAAAGATCTCGCAACACTGTCCAAGCTGGGAGAGAATTCGCGAATCACTATTCCGCAGGTTTACCGACTGTTTCCCTTGTCTCTCATATTCGTGAGTTATCCCGGTGGAAGCACGACGGTTCATTCGTTACTGAGGGTCCCAGGCACGGATCCAGTGAAGTACAGTGCTCAGATGCTGTCCAACGGGACGGAGGGGCTTTGGTCGCCTTCGGAGGCGGGGACGTCGAGCCCCCCGGAGGCGGGCATGTCTGTGCTGTCTGGGGCGTCTTTGCCCACGCCGGGTGCGTCAAGGCATTTTCCTGCGGCGGTTGTGCCGGCACCAGTGCCGGAGCTCGCTTTCCCAAGGCCGGAACCGAGTAGTTTGTGGATTCTGACCCGGCAGGTAGTCTGTGCGGATGTGGTTTGGGCCTGGCAGACGCACTTGCTGACGAGCGAAGACGATGAGGGGAAAGAGAAGTGGCTGCAGGCAGAGGTACGTCGTTGTCGACAGTACCTGTACCGGTGTTTGTTGCATAATACGAAGCGTTACCGGCGTTTGCGCGGTCTAGGGACGGCGCCTACACATTCTGTGATGATGTTGGCCAGCCACAAACTAGTCTCTTCGCGGAATGCGTACTCACGGACCACGGCAAACGAGATCTTGAAGCAGACGGCGCTGCGTTCGGCCCGTGCCCTGGAGGATCCCGAGCTGCTCATGACCATGAAGGCCTGTCTGGCCGTCCTCCGCGCGGCCCTGGTACGTTCCAATAAACCTAGCAGCACATTGGACGACGGCCTCGTGCATGCGCGCAACCGTAGCGGTGGCGATAACCCACGGAGCGCGTCGTTGCCGACTAACCGGAGTGCGCCCGATCTGCGACAGTTTGCGCAGTTCCGAGGTTTCTGGATCAAGCCACTCTGTCCCGGGCTCCCGAAGCCGCTGCTCGCCTCGTCTTCCTCCTTCCTCAACAACCAAGCAACGCTTTGCGAAAGCTGCTTCTACACCCTGCTCATCCTCAACTACTACGTGGAGAGCGCTGAGGCCGGCAGCCACAAACCCCGACATCGCCTCGACACCCAACCCAGTCGTGGGGAGGGGGGACAGCGGCTGGAACCTCGGCGGTCAGTCGGCAAGGTACTGGTGGACGGGAGGGCTCTGGCGGACAAGTTAATGTTACAAACGCGGCACGTGCTGGGAGAGTGTACATTACGGGTGCTGGCGGGTCCGTTGTCGTTTTACCGGTGGTTGAACTCATGGACGAGCACGGGTACGCCGGGGGACCGTATGGAGACCAAAGTGCGCAAGGCCGTGACGGACCCGTTTGTGCGTTTCAAGTTGCAGGTCCTATTGGACACGCTTGAGGCACATGGAAGGCGCTGGCGGCAGCTGTGGTTCGCTGACCCGCACCTGGTGATCCGGCGTTGCTTCGTGGAGCCCTCTCCGTTGGCACTCAAGGCACGCGCGCTCGAGGTAGAGATGGTCAAGACGCTCCGCACCCAGAACCGACTCGAACTGCTTCGCGGTCGCTATGACGCTACCCTCGATGCCGACCCCGCCGCGACCGACCCTGTCCTCGCTCAAGCCGCCACAGAAAACGCAGAAAACGCCGCCCTATTCCAATACACCAATTACAACGTCTGGCTCCACTTCTGCGTTGATGAGAACCTCGCACCCATGATCACCTCGCTCCTCTACCAATGCACTCAACTCGCACCCCTTAAACTCATAGCACTCACCTCCACACTCATCAACCTCGGCAACCCAAACGTCGACTGCTTCAAGTGCTGCATCCGATGTCTAGGCAAACTCGCCTTCAAGTAAGAAACACCCCACGCATCCCTGCCACCGCTCCGTACCTCGTGTTGGAATCTTGTGTCGGAGACTTCGTGTCCGAGACTTGTCTCACCTGCCTGTAGGGACCCCAATGTGTACTATGTCATCAATCCCTTCGTGCTCGAGTATGTAGCCCTGCGCGCGATTGATCCTGGTACGCCCAAGATCCGGAATCGGCTGGTCAAGATCACCGCAGCTTTTTTGTTTGAAGTGGCGAAGGCCGTTCCATTCGTTTCGTTTGACAAGACCTCACAACGCGTGGCGGCTGGCTGCGCCGATGGCAGCATTCTGCTTATTGGTCTGCAATCTACTGCGTCGAGCAGAACCATGCGGCACTCCAAGAGTGAGCACCCACCCCCCTATATTCCACCCGTATGTTCCACCCACAACACACTAGTGCTGGTACTAGTCCTGGTACTGGTACTAGTCCTGGTACTAGTCCTGGCACTAGTCCTGGTACTTGTGCTGGTACTAGTCTTGGTGCTAGTCTTTCTACTGGCACTAATCTTGGTACTAGTCCTACACCAATTGTGTGCTGCACGTTTTGTTTCATAGATGCGGTGACCGCCGTTTCGTTTGCGAATAACGGCTCGGCCGTCTTGTCGTTTGCGCCGGAGCAGTCCTACATCGTGGTGTGGAACCAAGTCGCAGCGCAACCGAACGTGCTCACCACCCTGCAGGGCGCCATGGGTATGAAGACGAGTCGTTTTGCGCCACGTCGTTGCTTGCTGACGCCGCGACCGAACGGACTCATGCTCGGAGGCTGCCTTCAAGGCGGCTGGTCACGGTTCAAATTGCTGGCCATCGACACTACGAGTGACTGGCTGCTGCTTGAGTAGGTTGCACTAGGGGGGGTTTGCACTGGGCCTTTGAGGGGGGGGATACAATGCCTTCATGACCCGATATAATGACTTCATGACTAATGCCTTTCAGCACCCTTACGGAACAGAGTTGGCGAATATCTGGCATTGCCGTCGCGCCGTAGCCATCGAGGAAGAATGGTGGGCGACGCTGCCTCTTGCGGCAGCGCCGTCCGTTCCGTTTGCGGACGCATCTGCTCGCCCACGTATCTGTTGCACACGAGTGCGTCCGCTCACGCATCTGTAGCACACGCATCCGTTGCACACGCGTGTGGTATGTCGCGTAGTTTCGAGGTCTTGGGCGTTGCACACGCGTGTGTGGAATGGCGCAAGAGCAAATAACCACCCGTGGCGTAGCAGGCCGCCGCAAGCCCGGGTCGGCTCCGTGGCAGTCGCACCCGCCGTACCATTCCAGCCAAGAAACACAGACGGAGTTTGGTGCAAGCGAACAGACGCTGAGTGCAGGCGAGCAGGCGCGGAGCGCAAGCGACCAGGCGCGGAGCGAGCGGAATGCGTTCGACGCGGCGACGTCGATCCTGTCGCGCATTGAGGCACTGGAGTCGACCATTATGGAACAGAACGCGATGCTGGATGGCGCCTGGCTCGACTCCGGCAGTGCGCCCGGCCTGGAGGTGGACCTAGATGCAGGTCTGGCCCGAGGGGCGGGTCTGGTCCGAGAGGCGGCTGCGGGACACCACTCAGAGCCCTCGGAGGCCCGTAGCAGCGTCTCACGGCGCCGGCGCCGGAGCCTTGGGCGCCTGCCGACCGCAGAAAAGCGCTCGCCGCGCGGAGAGGGCGGTGCACGGGCAGAGGTTTCGGAAGGCAGTCGCGCGCTGCTTGCGCCTTTTTACTCTGCGGAGGGTAACTGTTTTGTGGACGGGAGTGACGCTTTTTCCATCCAGTCTTCCTCGTCCAGCTCGGTGCCCTGCGAACGGCAAGTCGACGACCTGCCGCCTGGGGACCGGGTCCTGCCGCCCGAGGACCGGGTCCTGCCGCCCGAGGACCGGGTCCTGCCGCCCGAGGACCGGGTCCTGCCGCCTGAAGACCCGGTTCTGTCGCCGTTGGACCGGGTCGTCCTTGCTCTACCGCCGTTGGGCTCTCTCAGCGCAGCAGACGTCTCTGGGCTGGAGTGGAGGTCTGGAACACAAGACTCTGGAGCGCTGAGGACGGAGGCTTTTCAATCACGACTGGAGGCTGAGCCGGCACCGCGGCCGGAAGCGGAGGCTGGACGGGCCACTGGGTTCTTTTCGACGGAGCGTGTGTCGCCGCCGCCATCTTTGGCGTGGGTGGAGGAGACGAGTCTAACGCCGCCGCAGCACTTTGTGCGATACCCGCCGTTCCCGACGCCCGCGCCTGAGTCTGGCGGACGGCGATTGGGGGAGCGGAATGCCGGGTTGGAGAGTTGCTCGTGGCCGAAGGACGACGCGGTTTGTTCGTACGGGCGGACGGCGGAAACGGGTTCGCCGTTCGGGCGGTTGGAGCGCGTGCGATTCCAGATTCCATCGCTGGTCTCGATTTTAGAGCGAACGCGGCGGGAGCGAGAAGGACAGCGCGTGTTGCTGGAGGCGCGGCACCAACAGGTTTTGGACGAGCGGCGGCGCAAAGAGCGCGAGCTGGAGGAGATGCGGCGACGGGTAGAGGTGCTGCGGAAACGAGTGCTGAGCTGAGTTGTGGTGTTGACGGAGTTGAGTAGGTTGGAGTTGGGGAAGAGAGCTGAGGGGTAGCGGATTTTTTGGTGGTAATAAAATGGAGAGTCGGTTCTATGAGAAGGAGTTTCCGAAGCCGGGTGACTCGGTGGTTGTGAAGGTATTACGTTTGGAGGCGACGATGGGAGCGTACGTATCGTTGTTGGAGTACGGTGGAATGGAGGGGTTGATTTTGCCGAATGAATTGTCTAAGCGTCGTTTTCGTTCGATTCACAAATTGATAAAGGTGGGTCGTCAAGAGGTAGTGACGGTGGTGCGTGTGGACGCGGAGAAGGGGTATGTGGATTTGAGTAAGAAGCGTGTGTCGCCAGAAGACATAGGGGCGGCGGAGCATCGGTTTTCGAATGCGAAGCGTGTGCAATTAACGGTGCGACAAGTGGCGTCCAAGTTGGGTATGGATGTGCAAAAGTTGAACGAAGTGGCGATTTGGCCGTTGTACAAGAAATATGGACATGCGTATGAAGGTTTCAAAGTAGCAATGGAGAACCCACAGGAGGCGTTTGCTGGCATCGACTGTCCCGAGGATATTATAAAGGCAGTGGTCGAAGACATCGGACCACGCTTCGCACCCCAAGTCGTCAAAATCCGAGCGCGCATCCATTGTTCCTGCACCGGACATAAGGGTGTTAACGCCGTCAAGGAGGCGCTGATCAATGCGGAACAGTTCTTTGAGACCACCGAGAAATTCAGTCTCAAAATCCACCTCATCGCTAGCCCCCTCTACAGTGTCATTGCGCAAACCAATGATAAACAGGAAGGCCTGGATCGTGTACAACGCGCACTAGATCTCATCAAGGAATATATGGAACAAACACCTGGCGGCGAATTTAAACAGCAGGGGGGACTGGTCGTCTTCGGCGCTGATGAAGAAGAAGACCTCAAGGGGGAAGGCTCGGAAACGTCCAGCGAGGAAGACTCTGATGATGAGGACGAAGAAGAAGAAGAAGAGGAAGAGGAAGAAGAAGAAGAGGAAGAAGAAGAGGAAGACGGAAACCCCTCCACAGCATGAGTAAGTTAGCTTCACAGTCCACTTCTGCATCGTACTCTGCTCTGGTCTGCTCTTCCAACCATGATCAACTCAGCTAACCCCTTCGCTGACCCACTCCAACGCATCCACGCCATGCCGTCCAGGCTACGCCCGCCAGGCTTCGACGAAAAGGTGGTCTTCAAAAACAGCCTGGTTGTCACCCACGACAAAGACACCGAGCGAGTCAAAGGCGTTGCTAGACCCGTTCTTGCTTCAATGACTCCGATCCTCGATTCTGAACAGGTGTGACGATTTTGAGATGCGAACCAGAATTTTGTCGTGCAGTCAAAATAAAGTGGGAATTGATTGAGTCAAAAAGGAAGGGGGACGTCCCCCGCCG